TAACTAACACTAACTAACCCACCGACACCGGCCCGACAGGACACATGGGTAAACTAACCCTGACTAACCCACCGACACCGGCCCGACAGGACACATGGGTAAACTAACACTAACTAACCCACAGATACCGGCCCGACAGGACACATGGGTAAACAAACCCTAACTAACACTAACTAACCCACAGACCCCGGCCCGACAGGACACATGGGTAAACAAACCCTAACTAGCAGTAACTAACCCACAGACACCGGCCCGACAGGACACACGGGTAAACAAACCCTAACTAACAGTTCTGCTTCTCTGTCTGTTCATGCTTTCGTTGGATCAGACTGATCTCACAGACACTGCTATCGATGGAGATTTAACGGCCACCGAGGTTTGTGATCTGAGCTCTCTTCAGATTTTTCAGTAAAAAACTGAATAATGACAGACGTGATCAGATCTGTGACGTCAGAAAATCAAGCAGAAAAACAAGAATGCAATGAGCGATTGCAGTAATTAGATTGCTCATTAAGATACGGCAGGGCTGTTGATGTTCTTATTAAACTTTAATCTGATAATGACTAATAATCATAATTGTTCTTCTAGAGATGGAAACATTAAGCCTGTGATGTTAATGAGTTTAGCCTCCTGTTGATCCCAAGCGTCTCATTCCTTCATATCAGCGTTTACTCTCGTGTCATAATTTCACATGTTTTGTCATAATTGTTCTTCTAGAGATGGAAACATTAAGCCTGTGATGTTAATGAGTTCAGCCTCCTGTTGATCCCAAGCGTCTCATTCCTTCATATCAGCGTTTACTCTCGTGTCATAATTTCACATGTTTTTGTGTCTTTTGTGCAGTCGGATCAGGAGGACGAATCTGAAGCAAAGACGCAGGTAAGATTCAACAGTCTGTACTTGCATATTAAAACACTTATACTCTGTAAATATGATTTTTCAAAGTTGTAAAGAAAGATTATTAGAGTATGTTTTAAAAGAAAACACTGTTTTAGCCTTTCTACTTCGGTACTTGCCGTTTATTTGTAAGTATTTGTGAAATTTACTAGTTATTTCTGAGTGAAAATTGTTTTAAAAATAACTCCACACCAAATTATTTAGTGTACACTGATTTTAAAAAATGGTGTAAAAACAATTTTCACTCAGAAATAACTAGTAAATTTCACAAAGAATTACAAAGAATCAGCCAGCAACACACTGAATTAAATGTGAATTTTATTAATGTTATTTTCATGTAAAATGTGCTCCAATAATCTAAAAATACTTTTATTAACCTTTTTATTAAAAAATAATTTTAATAATAATATTTTATTAATAATAGTAATTATAATTTATAGAAATAAATACTGTATATACAATATTTATTAAAAAAATTACTTATAAAAAATGTATAATTACAACCTTTTTTCACTGTAGTCCTGAAAAACTTCTGATTGTCCAGTGATCTGAATCTGTCTATAGAGTGAATACAGTCACTGTGTGTGATATATGTTCGCAATATAACTCAATCTCTCATTCCTCGTGTCTTGTTTTTAATCTGTATAGTGTTGAATCATATATGTGTGTCTGAGTGTTTACTGACAGACACTGAGAGAGTGTGAGATGTGTGTGTTGCTGCTGGTGTGAATGAATGGATCTGTGTTTCCTTCAGCCCAGTTTCATAAGGCGAATTAAAGGAGAGAATGTGTTTGTGAGACACAGTAAGCTGATGTTAGAGGTTGGTAAGGAATGGATGTGTTTTAACTTGATACTGCTGCAGCTGTGTTCATGTCTGTGATTTATGTGTGTGTTTGCAGCGGCAGTGAAGCTGATTTACTCACTGAAAATGAATTTTATACCTTGTGTGATTGGCTCTCTGTGTTTGCAGTGCGTGTGCAGTTGAACAGAGAGCGTGTGTGTTTTATGCATGTCAGTTAATTGTTTCCATACAATGCAAATTAAAGGAGAGAGTCTGTTTTTCAGAACCTTTTACAGAAGTTTTTTTAGAATTGTTTTTTTTTTTTACTTCATTTGGAATGGTACGAAAGTTGGTAAAGTTTTTGGCACGTGCAATGTGAACACCAACAAAAGTAATGGACAGGATTTGAAAAGGTGAAAGGGTCCTGAAATAGATGTACTTGTACTGTTCGCGGTCAAAAATGATCGCATTGGAAACGAATGAGAAGTGTAAGCGTTTGGTACTGCGCCCAAACAAAATTTGACTGAAAGCTCATTTTTTTGTGATGTCAACCTCAAATTTGGAACACAACTTGTTTAGATTTATGCCTTTGATTTTCTCACAGTTTTAAAGTAAAACATGTTTTGAAAAAATACGTCATAGAAAATTGTAAAATTGCATTTTAGTGCATTTCTCTTGATAATAAACTTTTGTAACTTTTTTTAGAATGTTGTACATTTTTTCACTTCAGCAATAATCTGCCAAGTGTCTTCTTTAAAAAGAGATCAAACTTGAACTGTCGTCAATTCTGAATGCTTTGAAGCACAGACTTAAGTTGAAAATCTAATTTTCAGGTCTTCTAAAAAACAGGTAATAAATGGATCATAACTATTCCAAAATCTAAAATACTAGAAAAAAGTCCACACACTCTCAAAAATCTAAAAGTCACAAGCGAGATGAAAGCAGTGTAAGCAATTTACTGAAAAAGACAAGGCAACAAGGCAAACAGACTTTTTTCTAGTATTTTGGGGAACCTTTTTTGGTCTGTGCACCTTGGTTGGATTGTTTCCAAGGCATAGTGAGTCTCTGGCTGTTTTTCTCATAACTATTCCATATTTGTGACCCTGCAGCACAGAAGCAGTGTTAAGTCGCTGGGGGATATTTGTAGCAATAGCCAACAATACATTGCATGGGTCACAATTATAAATTTTTCTTTTATGTCAAGGCATAGTGAGTCTCTGGCTGTTTTTCTCATAACTATTCCATATTTGTGACCCTGTAGCACAAAAGCAGTGTTGAGTCGCTGGGGGATATTTGTAGCAATAGCCAACAATACATTGCATGGGTCACAATTATAAATTTTTCTTTTATGCCAAAAATCATTAGGATATTAAGTAAAGATCATGTTCCATGAAGATATTTAGTAAATGTCCTACCGTAAATATATCAAAACGTAATGTTTGATTAGTAATATGCATTGCTAAGAACTTCATTTGGACAACTTTAAAGATGATTTTCTCAATATTTAGATTTTTTTGCACCCTCAGATTCCAGATTTTCAAATATTGTCCTCTCCTAACAAACCATACATCAATGGAAAGATTATTTATTCAGCCTTATGACTGGTTTTGTGGTCCAGGGTCACAAATATAATTTACCTACAATAAAATGTGCAAGTGCAACAATATGAACTAAAATATGGTCATTAATTTAATTGAAACAAAAACCACACGAGCAGCACCAGAGTCTGTATTCAGTATTCAGTACTCTTATTATCCAGCGATATCATCGACTTGATTGCACAGATACTATTCAATGAACTGCCTTTAACTGAAAATTGAGTTTACTATTATCCTTCTGCATTATTACACACTATTTTCTTATTTAATACTGTAAAGCTGCTTTGACACAATCTGTATTGTTATAAGCGCTATATAAACACAGGTGACTTGACTTGTTGTGTTTGTTCAGGAGATCGAGCAAACGCCAGACGAGCTGCTGAAGCATCAGACCAACATCAGCGAGCTGAAGCGCACGTTCCTGGAGGGAGGACCGGAGCGCACGGGGCTGACCGAGTGGGAGAAGCGTCTGTCCTCGTCTCCGCTGCGGTCTCCACGTCTGGACGAAGCACCCATGATCGAGCCGCTGGAGCCGGACGAGGTGAGATCCACGTCTCGCATGTGTTGATCAGAATGGAAAACCAGACGCTGCTGTAATTAAAAGACGCCGTTCTTTGAAAAGGATCTGAATGCAGCCGGTTCAGACGAGAGCGACAGAAAACCTCTTATTGATTTTGTTTTTCCGCTCCAGAAACACTCACGGCGTTTAGCTGCTCTAAGCACTTCAGATCAGAGAAAATCATTATGTGCCGCTTACATAAAACCGGACAGAGGGAAAGACGGGAAAAATCCTGTCCTTAATCAGGATCTGTGTGCTGCGCTTCTGAAGAATTCTCTCAACATCCTTCTGAATTGAAGACTTGTTTTGTGAGATTATAAACCTCACATTTATTTATTTATTTAAAATGTATTTTAGATTTATTTACTTAGATTTATTTTTACTTGTAGAGTATTATGTTTAATTTTCAGTTTATGATTCAATTATTTAGAAATTCTTTTATATATAATATTTTCCATATATTATTTTTATGTAATTATGTTGATCTAATTACGTTTTGTCTAATTGTGTTTTTATTATAAATCTCTCAAAAAATATTTCTTCATTTATGGCATTTTTGTAGTACTTCTATGATGATCAGAACTCCTTGCTATGACTTTTTATAATACATTTTTATTAAAGAAATTGTGAGTGAGTGTGTGAGTGAGTGAGTGAGTGAGTGAGTGAGAGTGAGTGAGTGTGAGAGTGAGAGTGAGTGTGAGAGCGAGTGAGTGCGTGAGTGAGTGTGTGTGTGTGTGTGAGAGTGAGTGTGAGAGTGAGTGAGTGAGTGAGTGAGTGAGAGTGAGTGAGTGTGAGAGTGAGAGTGAGTGTGAGAGCGAGTGAGTGCGTGAGTGAGTGTGTGTGTGTGTGTGAGAGTGAGTGTGAGAGTGAGTGAGTGAGTGAGTGAGTGAGAGTGAGTGAGTGTGAGAGTGAGAGTGAGTGTGAGAGCGAGTGAGTGCGTGAGTGAGTGTGTGTGTGTGTGTGAGAGTGAGTGTGAGAGTGAGTGAGTGAGTGAGTGAGTGAGAGTGAGTGAGTGTGAGAGTGAGAGTGAGTGTGAGAGCGAGTGAGTGCGTGAGTGAGTGTGTGTGTGTGTGTGAGAGTGAGTGTGAGAGTGAGTGAGTGAGTGAGTGAGTGAGAGTGAGTGAGTGTGAGAGTGAGAGTGAGTGTGAGAGCGAGTGAGTGCGTGAGTGAGTGTGTGTGTGTGTGTGAGAGTGAGTGTGAGAGTGAGTGAGTGAGTGAGTGAGTGAGAGTGAGTGAGTGTGAGAGTGAGTGAGAGTGAGTGAGTGTGAGAGTGAGTGAGAGTGAGTGAGTGTGAGAGTGAGTGAGTGAGTGAGTGAGTGTGTGTGTGAGAGTGAGTGTGAGTGTGAGAGTGAGAGTGTGAGAGTGAGTGAGAGGGAGTGAGAGTGAGTGAGTGAGTGAGTGAGTGAGTGAGTGAGTGAGTGAGAGTGAGTGAGTGTGAGAGTGAGTGAG